TTTTTTTTTTTTAAAGAGAGAGAGAGAGAGAAATTTTTAATATTTATTTTTTAGTTTTCAGCGGATACAACATCTTTGTTTGTATGTGGTGCTGAGGATCAAACCTGGGCCGCACGCATGCCAGGCGAGCGCGCTACCGCTTGAGCCATATCCCCAGCCCCAATTATATTTTTGAATAAGAGAAACAGTGAAGGCAGACTGAATCCTAGCTTCTTGTAAAGAAGTTTGTATTCTTTTAAGTGATTTATTAAAATCATATTATTATCTTAAGAAATATCTACACTGAATTTTTGAGGAATATTCTGAAAGAGAATTTTTAAAATTTTATGTTACAAAAGCTATACTTAAAAATGCTATTTATGAACATCTCTAATATTAAAAATCTTATTAAATATTTTTATGCTTTATAGATGAAAATACAATCAAAAGCATAAATATATATATAAGAAATTTATGAGGCTATTTACATGAGAATTACAATTTCTGAGAATTACATAACAAAATTTCTGAGAATTACATAACAAAATTGCCTCATACATTCTTACATAAACATATATGTAAGAAACTGGTCTGGATGGTGCAGAAATGAGTACAAGAAAACACAAAGCACAATAACAAACAATGAACTTGGAAAGACCAATTGAGTTAAGAACACAAATGGCCTTGAATGGAATGTAAGTGTATTTGGTAGGCAATGTGGGAATGGAGTGGGGATGGAACATAAATAATGAAGTTTTCCTTGAATGACAGCAATAAAAAGCTTATAGAAAAAATGAATGGAAAGTTAATGTGGATAAGAATGTAGCAACAGTTAATAAAATTCTCCATTTGAATGTGAAAAAGGAAACCATATTGGTACTACCTATAGGACTTGATGATTGTTTAAGATGCGGAAGGCAAAGAGTTAAAAGATGACTCAGATTTTGAATGTGGTTCTTCTATTAATAAAAGGAGAAAAATCTAGAACAGGATCTAGTTTTCAAGGTAAAGAGAGAGTTAAATTGTGGTCACACTACTTGAGGTGCTAAGAGACCTCCAAATATCTATTTGAAAGTTGGACTCAGGAGAAAGGCCATCAGAGAAGGTGGTTATAAAAGAAGGATTGCATTACTGAGAATGTAGAAGAGGACAAAGGGTAGAACAAAAAACCAAGAAGCCAGAGAACAGATGAAATGAAAAAAGGAGAGAACAAAAGGAAGGAAAATGAGAAGTAATGACAGAGAAATCCAACCTGGTAAGTTTAAAGAAATTGCTTAAAAGTGTTCACTACTAAGCTGGTGATACATGTCTGTAATCCCAGCAACTTGGGAGAGGGGAGAGGGAGGCAGGGGGATTCCAAATTTGAGGCCACCTGGACAATCTACTGAGATCCCATCACAAAATAATAAATAAAAAAGAATGGGTATGCAGCTCATTTGTACAGCACTTGTCTAGCATGCACAAGGCCCTGGGTTCAACTCCCAGAACTCCACTTCCCCAAACAACCAAAAAGTGTTCAATGCCATCAAGAGTAAAGAGAATGAAACAACTGAAACAAAAAACACAGAATGATTAGGAGAAAGCACTTAGTATGAAGATAAACTAGACAGTTAAAGAAGTTGTGGTGAGAAAATGAGGGTAAGGATTGTTTGGCGGCGACTTGGTGGCCACTTAGTGGCAACTTAGAACAAAGCAGTGTGCGCTGAAAAAGAACATCAATCAGATGCCAGCGGAAACGCCTGTCAATCAGCCAGATCTCCTGAATAACGCCTGTCAATCAGCAGGACCCCCTGGCCAATTCTGGAGTTCAGCCAACTCCCCTGACCAACTCCAAGGGGGCAAGGGACCCTAGAAACATCTTTTCCTGTCCCAAGCCCTTCCCTTCCTGCTATAAGCCCCATAAAAGTCCAGTCCAGTCGAGCTTCCACGCGGTTTCTCCTCAGACCCTTCCCCTGTCCCCTCTGTGGGTCTGAGTTCCGCCCGGGAGTGATATCTCAATAAAGCCTGTTCCACGGCCCTTTTAAATCTGCCTCCTTTGGCCATTGCCTGCCCCGACTGATCTGACAAGGATTATAAATTATTTTGGGACATTTACCAAAGATAACAAAAATCACCTGAAATTCACTAAGCAATTCTTGTGTGCCAGGTACTGCCTTAGAATTTTATATATAACTTGGGTATTATTATTTTTTCCTTATATCAAACCTATGAGGTAGATACTGTTATTAGTCTCATTTTATAAACAACAAACATATAATAGAGAAAAAAATGTCCCCCAGGACACACATCTTACATGAGATCAGACTTTTTCTAGTGATTTCTAATATGACTCCTTATAATTTGAATAGATAATAGAAAAAAAAAAAAACCCAGTCTTTCTATTCTTGGAGGATGGGGATTGCAAGGGTTGTTTTTAAGGACAGGCAAAGTTTGAGCACTTCTGCTTTTCAAATAAAAAAGAGCTAGTGGAGAAACAAAAGAATGAAGAAGGGAGTGAGGATAATTAGAACAAAGAACCATAGGGAGTATGGAAACTAGAAGGGAAGACAAGCTTGCTTTAAATAGGAAATAACCTTAAACATACGAATCTACCTTAAGAAGTTGCAAAAATGCTACTGAAATGTTATCTTATAGCAAAGGGAATAACCACTCATACCACCCAAACTTTGAAAAGAATAACAGCAAAGAAGATATTTTTATTTTGAAAATTTCAAATTAAATACTATGAACATACTAAAAGAATGACTTTCGTGGCAGGATCATGTTTATCAGGATCCATCTTTGAAGGAAAAATTTATTGCCCTTATACATTCTGAGCTATTAACTCATCATCACAGATGTGGAACACCTTTAAAAAAGCCTTAAATATAGTATATGATATATAATTATAAGAATAGAATCCTAATATAATAATTAACTTAATTATATATTTATATATAAACTCTACATTGGGACTCAGAACAAGATACACTAAAATATGGCACCTTGGCAAATGGGAAAACTGAAGATAAAAGAAGATCACTCTGACTTTCCCCTACATTTCTGTGTGAGAGCTGGCCACACAGAAATTCTCTGACCCACCTCATCTTGAAAATACTTCATAAGATCTCATTCCAGAGGATTCTGTTCTATTCCTGGAGGCCAGGAAGAATCTGAACACACACTTGCTGGTTTCCAGTCCTTTGCCCCTAGTTTACAACCATTAGACATTAGATAATGCAATTTTTTAAAAAAATATTTTTTAGTTGTAGATGAACACAATATCTTTATTTATTTATTTTTATGTGGTGCTGAGGATTAAACCTAGTGCTTCACACATGTGAGGCAAGTGCTCTATCATTGAGCCACAACCCCAAACCTACATCATACCCTTTTTAATCCAGTAATATTTCTCCATCATCTATCCATTTCTTTCATCAGACTTAACATAAAATACTGTTTTTCTCTGGGCCTTTATTTCTGAAAGCTTCCATATTACATAAAACTTTGTTATATTTCTTGTGCTTTTCTCTTGTGAATTTTTATGTGTTATAGGAATGTCAGCCATAATCCTTGCAGTAGGTGAGGAAAAGGCATTACTTTTTCTCCCTTATAACTCTCTCTTATCACGTTAAAATCTTGCTAATGAAATTCTAATAAAAATGCTTTCTCATCTTAATAACATAATGTTTTCTCATCACTTAAAAATTCCAGACCATTAATCCTTTACCAATAATCAACTGTTATAAAAGGTAACACTTTTTAGGTGTCATTATTTTTTAAATGTTTTCACTTTTTTTTTAAAGCAATAACATTTCACTTGCAAACTATGAGCATCCAAGCTGCCTCTTTTGCTATTTTTGTCACTTAGAGAATTAAAAGAAACAGTTTATATAGCATCTTGTCTCCATAGTAATATGTATGTACTTGCTTTTTAGTCTTTCATTTAATGAGAAGAGTTTAAATCTTTCCCCCCTTATTTCTCTCC